CCATCACCATCACCATCACCATCACCATCACCATCACCATCACCATCGTCACCAACATAAGAGCAGCTCCTGTCCCTGGACGGGAATGCCCCCTGTATAGCCCTTCAAGGGGCTTACCTTAGGAATCCCTGTGGAGGTTGGAGGAAGGAAGGAGTGCTCACACTGCTCCAGGTATTTCTCGGAATTGGTTTTTCCAAATAAGAGAGTGACCACAAAACCCCTACAGGAGAAAAAGCATGCAGTTATAGTTATATAAATCATACTCTATCATTTAAAAAGCACATCCATGATAAAGTATATCCGGGGGGGGTGGGGGCGGCGTGTGACAAGTGGCCAGACACATACGGCAAAGACAGTTAGCTAAAGGGATTTGGAAAGTATTTCCTAACACTGAATAATCATGTCATCTACCCACTAACAGCACTCACCAAACTACTGCAGAATTTTAAATGACAAGTATTAGAGCTTCAGAATTCCATTCTGACAAATTTGTTTCTCACAAGCAAAAAATATCCCCCAAGTTGTTCTGTAAAACAACAACGAATTAAAAAAAAAACAAAACCCTCCAGAAATCAACTTGTTTCTTAAGTCTTAGAGTTACTAATAAGTCATCAATGAGGTATAAAATAAATCTCCCTTTCTACCAGAGCGGTAGATATATGTCTGTATGACATTTCTCAAGTGCAGGGCACAGGGCAAGCGCTACATAAACATTTATTCCCTCCTCTATACACCCAATCTGTAATGAAGTGTGCCAGTACTTCCCCAAATGCTGAATATTTTGGAGGAGTTAAAAACCAAAGTATAAAAGCAGATTAATTTACTTATGGTCAAGGTACTTTGAGGAACTGGCCCTAAATATCTAAACACTTCACCACCACTACCAACAGCTCAAAAAACCTAGAAGACAAGTTAATGTTATCTATCTCATGCCATAATTTATAGCTGCCTACCATGCTCTTAGATGATGAAAACAATTCTTTAATCATATTTTTCTTAAGGCCAGAATTTTTAATACAATGACAGTTGGTGGTAGTGGTAGGTGATGCTGATGATGATGATGACAGCAACAACTAACATTTATACAGAACTTTTAAGTATGCAAAGCACTTTCAAAATATTATATCATTTTATCCTCAACAACCCTAAGTGAAGTGGGTGCTACTCTCATCACCAATTCAAAGATGTCAAAGGTTAAATGACTTATCCAGAGTCACCTAGCTCATCTGTCTAAAGCTGAATTTGAACTCAGTTCTTCCTAACTCCAGGCCCAGCACTCCATCTACTGAGCCACTTACCTGCCTGAAATCACAACAACAGCACAAGAGAACACTAAATCCCTCAACGGTTCCAGATTGGCTTCCTAATGGCCTGCCCTCATGACTATGAGCTTAGAGATGCTCAAGAAATTAAAATTAATTATGTTAATAGTCCAGGAAAAGTTTACATAAAAATACTAAGTAAAAAGAAGTCAAATTCTCTTTCCTTGCACTAAAACTAGCCATCACAGAAAATCCAAACCCAACAGTATTTACAAATTCTTTTTCCCATTTCAGAAAATCTCCAAATAATCCAGACATTTGGTGCTAAGAAGCTGAAGCTCTATTTAAAACAGAGTGAAGGAGGCTTCTCATTTGAGATTTACAATTTGTTTAAGTGGGCAAATCGAATAAAAAAGCAAAAAAGTTTTGTAAGAAAAAACTCTGTTCTCATTCCAACTTGATCCTATGTGTTAATCAGAAATAGGCGGAGGCTGCAGGAAATCCGACCACTTTTCCACCTGATCACCAGGGACTAGGTGACCCGACATCTCACCAGCTGAACACAGTCAAGAGAAGACGGAGAAGATAAAAAGGAAAGCAGCTTCCTGACAGTTGTTAAAGGGGCCCGGGATAAAATACAACCCCCCATGGGTTGTATATCCCAAGACTTTCACCCCTCCCTCCAAGCTCCCACTTTGTTCCCCAGATTGATTTCCCATCACTCCTTGACTCATGGCCTCCCTGACCAGATCCACTGTCAGAGATCCCCTGTCACCCTACTCTTTATTTACTCTTTCCATATTCTCTCTTGACTTATCTGGGTACAAGGAGCCTCCCCTCCTTCAAGGAGAAGATGGTTTCTGGAGGAACTGCCCTTTCTGGCTCTGTATCCCCAGCACAATACCAGGCAGAAGTGAGACATTTACTTTCTTTTTTTTTCACATTTATTTTATTTTTTAATTTACGGAACAAAATAAGCATTTTATTAACAGTATAATAAAAAAGATGACTACACATAAAAGTACAAATCCACTGTGCACAACTGGCTATTGCTTTTAAATATATAACAAAATTATCATGTAAATGTCTTTTTCGTTCCTTTTTATTCCTTCCTCCCCCCCTGCCACTGTGGAGATGGCTACCATTAGACAGATAGATAGATAGATAGATAGATATGTAAAACTATTCTAAACATACTTCTACTTATCAGTTCTTTCTCTGGATGCAGATAGCATCTTTCTTCGTACGTCCTTTATAGTTAATTTGGGTAATTATAATAGTCAAAATAAATTATTCACTCAGTCATTCTTGAAACTATATTGCTGGGGCAGCTAGGTGGCGCAGCACCAGCCTTGGATTCAGGAGGACCTGAGTTCAAATCTGACCTCAGACACTTGACACTTACTAGCTGTGTGACCCTGGGCAAGTCATTTAACCCCACTGCCTAGCAAAAAAAAGAAAAAAAAAAGAAAGGAAAAAAAACTATATTGCTGTTACTGTATACAACATTCTCTTGGTTTGGCTCATTTCACTCTTCATTGCTTCTTGCACGTCTTTCCATGTTTTTCTAAGATCACTGAGCTCATCATTTCTTATAGCACAGTAGTATTCCAACATAATCATGTATCACAACTTGTTCAGCCATTTCCCAATCGATAGGCATCCCTGCAATTTCCAGTTCTTTGCCACAACAAAGAGAGCTGCTATAAATATTTAAGAGCATATGGGTTCTTTTCTTTTTTCCCTAATCATCTTTGGGAACAGACCCAGGAATGGTATTCCTGGGTCAAAGGGCAGTTTAATAACTCTTTGGCATAATTTTAGATTGCTCTCCAAAATAGTTGGATCAGTTCACAATTCCACCCACGATGAATCAGTGTCCCAATTTTTCCACATTCCCTCCAACATCTGTCGCTTCCCTCTTCAACCATTTTGGAAGGGAGCCACTTGCTAAATGGCTGCTGAATCCCACTGAATTTAAAGACAAGGGACTAGCCAAAAACGTGGCTTAAAAAAACTACTGTCCACAACTGCAGTCATTCTCCCACAGAGACACACAGTTGCCTATTCCTTGGAAGCAGTGTGCAGTCTCCCAGCAGCCAACTGAGGGAGAGCCTCTCAGGCCCACGGATGACCCATGGTCCGTCTCTGGGCCTGCCCCTGGTCTCTCTGGCACAGGCCTCCAAAGCCCTGGACGTGTCAAGGGCCAGAAGGAAGGCACAGGCAGAGGGTGGACCTGGGTTGCTTAACTACCTCTATTCATTTGTGTTTTTAAATGGAGAGGGGAGTGGGCTAATAGAGGGAGAAGGAGGCTAGTAGAGTGATACCAATAAACTGAGGCCCACAAAAACATTTTTAAACAATTTTTAATTACGTGATTAAAAACAATTTGAACATTGATTTTTTTTTAAAATTTTAAGTTCTAAATTCTCTTTCTCCCCCCTCCTTGAGATGATAAGCAATTTGACTGAGGTTATACCTGTGCAATCTGCAAATCATATTTACATATTAGTCATGTTGTGAAAAAAAACTCAGACCAAAAAGGAAGAAAAAAAAAAACATGAAAAAAATAAAGTAGAAAATAGTATGCTTTGCTCTGCATTCTGCCCCCCTAAGTTCTTCCTCTGGAGGCAGACAGTATTTTTCCTTGAGTCGTTCTGAGTCGTCTTGGGTCACCGCATTGCTGAGAAGAGCTAAGTCTGCTGCACAATGTGACTGTTACTGTGAACAGTGTTCTACTGGTTCTGCTCCCTTCACTTTGCATCAGTTGAGGTGAGTCTTTCCAGGTTTTTCTGGAATCACCCTGTTTGCCTTCTCATACAGCACAATTGTAATTTCATCACAGTCATATGTCCCTTGTTCAGCCATTCCCCAACTGATGGGCATCCCCTGAGTTTCCAATCCTTTGGGACCACAAACAGCTGCTGTGAGTGTTTTCGTACAGATAGGTCCTTTTTCCTTTTTTTTTTTAATCTCTTTGGGATACAGATCGAGCAGTGGTACTGCTGGGTCAAAGGGTATGCACAGTTTGATTACCCTTTGGCCATAGTTTCAAATTGCTCCCCAGAATGGTTGAGTCAGTCACCACTCCAGTAACACTGCACTTGGTTTTTTTGTTTTGTTTTTTGGCTAGGCAATGGGGTTAAGTGACTTGCCCAGGGTCACACAGCTAGTAAGTATGATGTGTCTGAGGCTAGCTGCCCCTGCTGCTGTTGTTGAATCATTTTTCAATTGTGTCTGACTTTTCATGACCCCATTTGGCATTTCCTTGGTAGAGACACAGGAGTGGTTTGCCATTTACTTCTCCCGATAATTTTCCAGATGAGGAAACTGAGGCAAACAGGGTTAATTGACTTGCCCAGGGTCACACAGCTAGTAAGTGTCTCAGGCTGAATTTGAACTCAGGATCTCCTGACTCCAGGCCCTGCATCCTATCCAATGCACCACCTAACTGCCCAAAACAATATGTTAAGTGTTCCAATTTTCTCACATTCCCTCCAACATTTACTATTTTCTTTTTCTGTCATATTAGCCAATCTGATGGGTGTGAGATGATACTTGAGTTGTTTTAATTTGTATTTCTCTAATTGACGGTGATTTAGAGCATTTTTTTCACATGAATATAGAAAGCTTTGATTTCTTCATCTGAAAACTGCCTGTTCATATCCTTTGGTCATTATCAATTGGGAAATGACTGGTATTCTTATAAATTTGATTCAATTTTCTATGTATTTGAGAAATGAGGCCTTTATCAGAGACTCTTGCTATATGAAATTTTTTCCCAACTTTCTGCTTTTCTTATAACATGGGTTCAATTGGTTTTGTTTGTGCAAAAACTTTTAAATTTAATATAATCAAAATTATCCATCTTACATCTCATAATGCTTTCTATCTCTTATTTGGTCCACAAAAACATTTTTAAGTGACCAGAACAGAAGGAAGCACAGACAAGTGGACTATTTTGAAAGCAATGTGTGAAATATACTATACACCTTTTTTAAAAAGCAAAGAAGTATGAAATGAAGAATCATGATGTGGATGTGAAAATAGTCTCTCTTTTTTTTTTATTTGGTGTTTAAGTTCAAAATAAAATAAAATAAAAATAATGCTAAGTCACATTTAGGATATGATGAGATTACCATAACTAATATTTGCAAACCACTTCATGGTATACAATGTCACACCCTTTACAGTTAACGATTTTTCTCTTTGTAAATAGAGAATGAGAGAGACAGAGAGAGAGAGAGAGAGAGAGAGAGAGAGAGAGAGAGAGAGAGAGAGCGCCTTTCAGTTATGGTACTATGCAGTTCACATCAGTGAATAATTTCCAAAGGCTTAAATTTTAGGTACTTAATCAAACTGTACCTTAAAATATCCTAATTAAATATGCAAAAGAAGAGCCCTAACTCCTCAGGGTGCTAAGTCCTGACCTCCCTGAGCCTCAGTTTATCCTCTCTGGTTCTTAAAATGGTAATAACAGCAATTATACCTCCTACTACACAGGGCAATTCAGAAGAAAGTCTTTACATGAAGGACTTTCTCAGTGTAGCTCCTCCCTGGGGAAGGAGGATTCAAGTACAAATGTGCAGTTTTCTAAGTCCTCATTTTTGCAACGTTCTCACATGTGACTCTTCTTAGATTTTCACTCTAGGTCAACATTTCCAACATCCTTAGAAGTCAGTGGTCTCATTCAATAAATTAACTGTCAAGTACCTCCAAAGACTATAAAATGTTCAAAATAAAGGAAAATTAGACTTCTAAGAATGGGTATTCAAAATATGTTATTAATAGTATTTCTGTCAAACTGTAGATATTTTCTAAAATGTATCAAAGCAACATCAAGAGACAACAAGACTTGAAAGTAAGTGTTCGGCGACCCCCCCCCAGGAGACCTTGGCCAGGTCAGTCCCCTTTTCCCTTCCCCCGAGGCCTCGATTTCATCAAAATGTAATATGAGGAGGATGAACCAGATGCTCTGGGAGGTACATCTTTAAATCTAGGATTCCATGAGAAAAGAAAACAATATTTAAAGAAAGCTTGCTCAAGTCACTGTTCTTTGCAGAAACAACAATCAAACAAAACCCATTTATTAATTGCCAACTATGTGCCAGACCCTGTGCTAAGTGCCAAGGATACAAAATCAAAAGAAAGAGTACCCCTGCACCCCTCCAAAAATGCCAGCCTGTCCCTTCTGCTTAGCTTATTAACCAAGTAATAACTCACTATATGCTAGGCACCGTGCTGAGCATTTTACAAATATAATCTTGTCCGATCTCATAAAAACTTTGCAAGGTAGGTGCTATTATCATCTCCACTTTTCAGATGAGGAGACTAAGGCAAGCAGAGGTTAAGTAACTTGGCTCTGAGTCACTCAGCTAGTGAGTGACTGAGG